GCAGCAGCCAGGCGAGCGCAGGCAGGCGGTCCCTGTGCCCGTAGGCGTCGTAGAAGAGCGGGAAGGCCCGCGTGGCCCCGGCGGAGAGCAGCAGCAGGTCCAGCAGCGCCAGGCAGGGGGCGCCGGGAGGGCAGCGCCAGGGCAAGAGGGCCAGCGCCAGCAGGGCCAGCAAGGCCACCAGGCCGAAGAGCGCGCCTACCCCGTACACGTGGGCCTCCCAGGCCAGCCCCCAGCGAGCCCTGGCCTCTGCCCAGTCGACCTCCAGGGTCAGGAGGAAGAGGGGCAGCGGGGCCGCAGGAGGCTGCCCCTCGCGTTCAGGCGAGTCTCCCGCGGCGCAGGACTCTGGGCCACACTCTGGCTGCCCTGAAGGGTCCCCAAGGCTGCCGGGAGAGGGGTCGTCTTGGCCAGAGGTGGGGCTGGTGGGGTCTGTGGGCAAAGAAAATGTGGCTGAGACAGGTGTGCAGCCCTCCCCTTGCCCACCCGACAGCCTGCAGCCTGAATGCCAGTCAGGAAGTTCCTGAGATCCTTCAGGAGTCCCCCAGCCTCTTGGCCTCCCAACCTTCCCTCCCCCACTCAGAGTCCACATGCCGAAGTTTCGGCTCCGTCCCTTCCCTCTCCCCCCTCTCTTTACCTCTATCCCTAGCTCCAGCTTTCTGCTTTGTTCATTTGTGACTCTCCTGAAAGGTTTTTCTTGAGAAGTCACAGAACTTTACGACTGGAAGTTCAGATGCTCCACCAGAAAGGGAGCTTTAGGAGAATAAGAATTTTCATTTGCCTGGTTCACATCTGAATCACCACACTTAAAGTGGTTTCTGCCATACAGTTGGCATTGAGAAGATATTCACCGAATAAATGCATCCTCTTACATGCCAGACGAAGATACAGAGGGGAGGCTGTGAGGCGAAGTGACTAGCCACAGTCACAAACTGGCCGAACTGCCACCAGAATCCAGATCTAAACACCAGTCTGAGCTCCCATCCAGGATTCCAAATCCTCTTCATAACGCTGGCTTGCTCATCCTTTGTTCTGGGCCCCTGACTCCCAACCCCCTCCTTGGTAAGAGAAGCTCCCTGACTTTTTTCAACTGCTGCTCCCTTCTCCCTGTCTCAGGGAAAAGCTCCCACGCACTCACACATAAGCATAACAGGGGAGAAGAGAGCAACTCCTGTCCCAGCCCTCTGAGCAGAATACACTGCTCCTCTTCCCTGGCCTTCCTCCTGCTTCACCCAACCCTGGGCCTAGCCATGGCAGTGATCCATCCCGACTCAGCCACAAAGCCATTGGCCTGCCACCCTCAATCCAGATGTCCCTTTGGTATCCCCCCCATTTTATTGAAGGTGATACGGAGATGAACTCCTCTAGGTCTCAAATGGGGTGAAGGATGGGAGCCCATCAGATAGATGTTCTGGGGTCTGCTAACCCAGGTCTGCAACCTGTGCTCCAACATCTTACCATATCCTTTGGGGAAAGGGAAGTCAACTAAGAGAGCTTGAGTAGGATCCCTAATTCTAGGCTCCTGGAGCAAGAGAGAAGTTGGAAAGAGTTAGACCCAAGGCGTCCCCCCATGGCCGGACAGCAAGGGAAGATGCTGGAAGCTAAACCTTTCTCTATCCCACCTAGTAGGCTCAGCAGGACTGCAGCACAGGCAAGGGTGGAGGAAGAAAGAGTGGTGATGAAGGACAGGGATGTCCTGGCAGGGGTTGGGAGGACAAAGAACAGATGTGGAATCTAAGAGGATTGTGTCCTGACAGTCAGACTCCTGCCCCAACTGCCTGACAATGCCCAAGCCATGCCTCAGCCATGTCCCAGCCATGCCTCAGTCATGCCCTGGCCATGCCCCACCCTTGCCCAAGCCGGAAAACTCAGGAAGACCCCAGAAGCACCCCAACCCAAGGCAGGACCGGCACATGCTGGAGACATGCAAAAAACACAGCAGTTCTGAGAACAACTAAAGAAATGAGGGAGCTGGAAGGTGGCGCTGGAGAGCAGGGAGAGAAAGACGGAACTGGACAACTGAGGAAGGGAAAGAAGGAGCAGCCAAAAAATTTCAATATCCACAGCTCATTGCCAACTGCAAATGGCAGCATGTACCCTGGTTCCTGTTCCTTCATAATACCTCAAATCGGAAATGAATAAGAGTACCTGCTGCGTGAGGCTGTTGCGAGGATAAATGAAATGATATGAGTGAAACTCTCTGGAGTGCCTGGAACACAATGATCCTTCAAGATATGATTGTTGTCAGTATCATGATTATTGGTTAATGTTCATCACGGATCAATCCTCAGTGTGTGTGTGTGTGTGTGTGTGTGTGTGTGTGTGTGTGTGTGTGTGTATGACCACTTCTGGCCTCAAACTCATTCTTGATTTAACTAACTAAAGGCTGGGTCTGTTTTAAAAGCCCTTAGCACATTCTCAACTTGCTTAGAAAGACAACAATTAGTCAAATGAGTGAACATCAACACATGGTCTCAGTTCATGAACTCTGTTTAAAGCACATCTTTCTGATGGCCTAACCATCCCTAAACACTAGTGAAGACACCAGCCATCAATTAAATGAGAAATCACTCAACGGGGAATGGAGAGCTTGCTGGTCAGGTGGACATCGGTCTGGCAGTGGCAGGATCAAATGCACATACTTCCTCACCCCTCATTCTTTAGTCAACTCAGATGCCCTTGCCCAACTCACTTCTTCTGCAAAGTAATTAAGTTTGTTTGGTCTTTCTTTGGCCTCTATAGGCTCTTCAGAGAGGCAGGGAGGCTGTGCCTGCAAGCCTAGTCTGCCCCAGTCCGTCACCTCTCACCACCCCCTCCTTGCTCACTGTATAGACAAGTGCAGCTCTCAGGGGTTGGCTTCCCTTCCCCCCTCCATCTTCCCTTCTCACCCATGGACCACAGGAACCCCTGTCTGTCTCTTATCTCCAGTCCCCAAGTACTATGGCAACTAGAGCATATGTCAACATTCATAATCCAGAAAAGCAATAAAATCCAGAAAACAGGCAAGATACAGGGACAGCTCAAGTGTCAGAGAAGGAGTACTGAATTAGGAACACTGATTCCAGAAGTCAGAACATGCCCAGGATGTCTTGCCCTGGTGCAGCTGTGGGTGGGCCAGGTGGAAGAAAACCTGGTTTCTGTCTTTGAAGGGCTCACTTGACTTCATCTCCCATCTCCCTATTGGAAGCTTCTTCAGAAAGAGCCTTCAGATTCCCAGAGAAGACCCACAAAACTGTGAACTCAGTTCTCTCGTCCCAGGATCCCTCTCCCAAGCAGATCTACTCTACAGGGAGGTGTCACTCTGGCCCTGTGGCCCCTCTTAACCGACCTCAGGGGCGAGGGAGGCAATGGGATATCAGTGTGAGTAACTGGTGAGGCAGGAGCTGGCTGGGGAGGGGTTGGGGAGGGGCCAGCTCAATTCATGGAAAAGTCAGGCCTGATTATCCACCAGCTGCCCAGATCAAAGGGCTGGGAAATCACATCTCCACTCTGGAAGCTGGAAGCTACAGCCTGTTTAGTGGCCTGGCCACATCCCTCTCCCCACCCCCACCTCCAGAATCATGCATGACTGATACTCTTTGTAGGGGTGACACTCAAAATACTTAACAACTGGGATGGCACAAGTACCAGCCACTCAGAACAGATGCCCATCAGGGTGATCAGGAGTGGAGGGGAGCATCAGGGGATTAAGTACTGATCAACTGGTATGAAATCCTCCAATATGTTATGGCCTGTACAACCATTCTGGGGTGTATGGGCTGAAGCCAAGTTCTGTCCAAGGTGAAGGAGACCATTGGCCAAAGGTTAACTGCACCCAGATTAGGCGTATCCTGGAGGAGACACAAAAAGACTCCCCTTGTCTTGTAACTGCTTGATACAATTCCACAAACACACACACACACACACACACACACACACACACACACACACACACACTGCTGGCGAGAGCAAGACCCACTGGCCTTCTCTCCAGGAGGCTATAGCTCTTCTGGGTTTACCCAAGAAGAGGCTGAGTTCCTTGCAGTCCCCAGTGAAAAGGGGGAGTGAGGGCGGGGCTACCAGCCTGCCCAGCTGCACAGCCTCTGATACTGTCCAGACTCATTAAACCTGCCTGGCCAGCGCCGTCACTGAGGCCAACAGAATGCCAGCCAGCATCCTTCCCCCGAGGCACAGAGCCTGTCCCCTACTCCACAGTGGATCCTGCCACTGTTGCAGGCTGGGCTGGACAGTATGAGGGAGAGTGGTGATGACAATTGAAGTGGGCCAGAGAATCAGGGGCTAGGTTGTCTGGAGCTAGAAGAAGCCAGGAAAACCAGTGGTTTCCACTACTGGGTCCAGCATGGGGTGGCCAAGAAGTTTCACAGAGACAGTAAACTCTCTGCAGAATGATGCTGGGCCCGGAGGTTCCTCGGTCCCTCTCCAGGGCTCCTGTGGCCTCATCTTACTAGAACCTCTCTTCCAGCATGTGTGCCCACTGCCCTATGGATTATGCATTGTGCCACCGCTACCAGCAGCCCAGGTTGGGGTGTCTGAGAGGTGGGGTCTGGAAGTATATCTGGGATGCAGTGGGGAAAAGAAGAAAGGTAAATACAGGGATGTCAAAAAATGGATACACATTTTAAGTATGGCATTCACTCAAAAGATGGTGTTAATCAAATGAATGCTAGCATCACCATGCGAAAGGCAGGACAAAGAAAATGCCGGCAGCACGGTTGAGCGAATGTCATACTACACATGGCTACTGTAACTTAATTCAACTTCAAAAAGTAACACACAGATATCATCACTTAAAATGCGTGCGCGTTTTTTGGGCACCCCTGTAGATACTGTTTAATGAACACATATGTCTTGCTCAACATCATGCCAAGAGCTTTACAATAACTGACAACACAAGTGCTATTATCAAACCCTAAATATATGAGACAATTTGGGGATCAGAGAGGCTAAATAGCCTGCCCAAGGTAACTCAGCTTGTAAGTAAGGGAATTAGGATTCAAAGTCCAGGTCTCAGGATTCCAGAAGCTGTGGTCTTTCCTTTGCACCCCCGGCTTGTGGGCTTGTCAATGTGCATGTTCTGAGAGGCTCCTCTGAACGAAGGTGGCGTCTGTCTACTCAAGATCTCTTCTTCAATGTCTTCCCAATGAGGGGCCCAGCTCTGCCCACATCTGACAGCACGTCATGTCAGATCAGACGGCAAAGGAGAGACTCCCAAGGTTGGGGTGGGGGTGGAGAGGAAGCTCAGGCCAACTGGAGTGGAGGGCGGGTGAGTGCTGAGGCTGTGGAAATTATCAAGGAGTTCCCGTGTCTGTTGGTCCCTGATACATCTGTCTACATCCTGCTCTGCCTGTGATTGCAAAACTCTCAGAAGGCCATGACTTAACTCTGTGTGGGACTTTTTCCAGCAGCTTGCTCTCAGACCATTAATAATATCTCTGTGGTGATGATGAAGAGAATGGTGGTTATGATTATGATAAAATAAAAGGGTCCCAGAACAGTGACTAGCATGTAGTAAGTGCTCAAGAAATAATTGTCAAGTTCAAATGAACTGGATACTCACCTAGGTTTGTTGCTGCATTTGAGGCCAAGCTTAGGGAGGCAGCTGGATCCAGTGGGCTTGGGCTGGAGAGCTTCCTCTCCAGAGGGAACCGGGGCAGGGACAGAGTGGTGCCCAAAAACCCTGCAAAGGGAGCACACAGGGCTGGAGAGTCACTCTACTAGCCGGGCTTGGCTTCCAGGATTTTGGAGAAAATTATGTCCTTCCCAGGAGCTTGCCCTAAGGAAGTCACTGTCTCAGGCAGTGTAGCCACATGCTAAGCTCACATACACCGTGATTTAAGCTACAAGGAGCAAACCAGACTCAGTCGGGCAAAGAGAATGCTTTCTGCATGGGAGCAGTGGCCCATGCCCCGGGCCTGGAAGAAGCAATCAGGCCTCCCCTGAGTCCATAAAGAAAGGACGGTACTGGTTGGGCCCCCAGCACTGCGCCCCGGTATGTGGAGGTGTTCCACAGTGGTTTGTTGCAATGAAATAAACACTCACCTGGAGAAACCGAAACTCCAGAAGCAGAGCTCGGGGCTGTAGTCTCGCCTGGGGGGCTCAGGCCTGAGACATTCCGCAGTGGGGACAGAGTTGTGCCAAAGAACCCTGCAAAAGAAGCCAGGGCTGAAGCCGCCTCCTACCTGCCGGGGTGCCCAGCAGGGCCTCTCCTTGGAATGGTGTGGGTACTCACCAAAGGGTCCCAGGCGCCCGGCAAGCTCTGCCAGGCTGGCCCGCAGGCTGGGCAGCAGGGGTAGTGTCCGCTGCCCGCGTGTGGGGGCTGCGCCTGCCCTCAGTGCCATGTCAAACTTCAGCTCCAGTTCGCTCTGGTGGGGCCTGGGAGCATTGGATGGAGGTGCTGTGGCCGTCAGAACAGTGTCCCAGGTCACAGTGCCCATCCTGGGCTGATAGGGAGCAGTGGGCCGGTCGGAGGTCCTAGACAGGGGGGTTGTGGACTCCCGAGGGAGGGAGGAGACCCAGGGTGTAGAACTGCCCTCAGCAGAACCCCACTCTGGGATAGAGTTCCCGGGGGAGCCCACCAGCAGTTCCCAAAGGGGGTCAGTCCTCAGCCCACCGGCCACTTCTTCCCCTGGCTCCTGGCCTGGCCCAGGAGAGAGAGGCTGGGTCTCTGTGACAGGGCTCCCCCAGACAGCAGCAGGTCCCCGAAGGTGGAATTTGAAGTTAAGTCCCAGGTTGAGAGACAGCACAGAGGCCTCACTCTGAGGTGGTGGGGTCAGAGTGGTGAGAGGGGCAGCTGGGGCAGAGGGGGCAGGCTGGGGACCCACAGGAGCAGCAAGCAGGACCCAGCAGAATAGCCCCAGCCCCAGACAGCCATGCCCTGCCATGGCCCCACCTCCTGGGGCAGCCGTGGTGGGCAGGGGGCTCAGTTCTTCGGCGTCTTTGGAGCGTGAAGGCCCTAGAGAGAGGAGAGGCTCTGTGAGCTCTGGCTGCTGTCACCCTCTCCCCTTTCCCAGGATCGGATGCCCCAGAGAGAAGCATCCGATCCCAGAGAAGCAGGTGGTGGAGGTAGGATGCAAAGCCTTCTGCCCAAGGATAGAGACATGATAGAGACATGATAGCTCTTCTTGCCAATCTGTCCTGTCCTTTCAGGCCTCAGCACAGTCCCTTCCCTGCAGCTTCTCCTCCCCCGCCTGTTCATGGGGGAACTGGGGTCTGGCTGCAGGCAGTGGCTGCCATCCTTAACTGGGGACAGAGAGGATGGACTCAGACTCCCAGACTCGGATTCCTTCCTTCTTCCCTCAAATGTTTACCGCTACCTACTGTGTGCCAGGCACCCCTCTGGGTGTCTGTGAACAAGCGGGCCCTCCTGGGTGAGTCTCCTCGGATGCCCACCCCAACCTCAGGTGCTGGTGTTCTCGCTCTCACACCGCTGGGGCTCAGGCCCCAGGAGACGCAGCACCCAGTGATCTGGCGCAGCAGCCCAGGCTCTGACCAGGGAAACAGGGTTCCCAGTCTGGCATAAGTGCCCTCCCTTCAGCCGCCCCGCTCTTTCCTGGGGTTGGACCTGCAATCTTCTCCAGGACTCTAGAAGTATTTGGGGGAGGGGCAGCACGGCCATCTCTAGTTTCCTGGGGAGGGGGGAGAAGGCCACGCAGGCTAGTTGGGCAAGGGGCAGCTGCAGCAACTGCTGCTTCCCTTCCCAGAACTCCCCCCTCCATGCACACACATCTGGTGGGGGAAGGGAGGGTGAGCCAGGGACACACGTGCACTCAGCACCCTTACATCACACACATAGCCACACCTAGCACCCGTGACACACTCATCCACTCACCCTTCACACACCCCTGCCCCTGTGCCCGTGCATACACACTCACAC